GTCTGGGGAATCGCCGGCCGGGATCCCGAGGAGTTTCGCCATGTGGTGGGTGCAGCAGCGCGCTGCATCAGCGCATGTCCCAACCTGACCTGACCTGATTGTTTTAATATGTCACTATTTATTTGCTGTAGTCAGAGATGCATCACTGAGAAAATGAAGAGCTGTAGAAGCAAACTTTACTTCTGTCTCTGACAATACGTAGCCACCAGGTGCTGCTGGGCCTTCTCAGTTGGGCAGGTGTGTGTGTGTGTGTGTGTGTGTGTGTGTGTCCGCGCGCCCTCTCCACAAAAGTGCTGCATTCCAGGTTCTAATTCCTCCCTCATTATTTGTGTCATACATATAGACACTCCTTCCTTAACTGAGCTCCATTCCTCCGATCAGGTTATTATGCAAATTGGTTGATAAGCGAGGAGCCGCCCCTTACTGATATTTCAGGCATTATGTACTGGTATTGGTGTCAGCTGTCTTTATGGTGTTAATGTGATCTTTGCACCATATATAACATTTTTAGTATATTTCTAAATGGTTACACAGTACTGTCTAATGATATTACTAATATACATTTTATTTTTATATATATACTGTATATACAGTGTGTATATATATATAAACTGTATATACAGTATATATATATAAACTGTATAAACTGTATATACAGTATATATATATAAACTGTATAAACTGTATATACAGTATATATATATAAACTGTATATATATATATATATATATATATATATATATATACATACACACAGTATATCAGTACAATACTGACTGGTCAGAGCTGGTTCTAAGTCTGCATGGTCATTAACCAGGTAGGTTGTTAAGTGAGTAGTGATTGTATTTTTTACATTTTCCTTTAGACACTAAAATATTGCAATTAGCACACAAATGTAAAAGGGAGATCTGAGGATCCCACTGAAGGTGCGGCCAACAGTCTGGCTCGGGTTTCGCGTCTTTAAGCTCCTCCCACATCGTCACCTGCGTTGGCCTTTCTATTTCATCCATCCATTATCTTCCGCCTGATCCGAGGTCCATTTCATCTGCTCAAACTAAGGCCAAAGGAGGTAATTCATGGGTCCAGAATAGATCCCGGCCGTTGGCTCACAGCAGTCAGTCACCTGCTGCTCTTGCCCTGACATTATTTGCTTGGCAAAGTCACGGAGTTGACTAACATACACGCTAGTAGTTCACATAGTTCAGTTGCACTGAAGTAGTTTGGGGTTAACAAATTGCTGGAGGTTACGATAGGTGATGAGCCTTTGGGATTTCAACCCAGATGCAGCATCTGTTGCTTAATTTCATTGCTGGTGAATCGTTCTGCCACCGCAACCCAATAAAATTTATAGGTGATGATTTAATGTCTTGACTTTGAACCCTCTCCTGAACCTCTGTGCTAAAACATAGTCCATCGGAAGCTTCCAGCTCTGCAAAAATTACAGTGAATCAAAAATGTCACAACATTGTCTTACATAATCTTAACAATCCACAGAGGATGGGGGGGGGGGGGGGGGGTTCTTGGTGTAAGCAGATGCAAAAAACATTATTTGACTTTAGAAGGAAAATCGTAAAAGAATCAGAGGAAATCAATGAGAAAACCTTTATTATCCTGCAGGAAATTGTGACTAACTGCACAGCATATAACCACATAAAAAGACAAAGACTGACAACACACAGCACCACAAATGACAATTTCTGTATAAAAATAAATGTGTAATATATGGAAATGATAAACTATAGGTGGATGAAAACACCAACATTGCTTGCTATAATAGTTTGTATTTTGTATAATAGGTTAGTTTTACACATGCAAAATACAATCTTAAAATTGAAACTGGGAAGTCTCTCGCATATTGAGAAATTAACAAACAAATTAGGTTAACGTGGTACCTAATCAGTATAAAAGATCAGCTTTTCAGAATTTACCTGAAGTTTATAAGTTTGACTGTGGCTGACTGTAATTTTCATTTCCCTGGATAGGCACTGGGGGGTCGGAGCTTTTTGGGATTAACTGCAGAAACGTAAAATACATAACTGTAAATAACGAGAGTGATGAGCTCTGCAGGTGAATGGATCCACATGACAGTGTGTTAGGGGAACTAACATGCCTTCCATTGAGAACGGGTGTTTGGTGTTAAAGGGCTTGCCTGCGCAAACCGCAGGCCAGTGCAAACAAAAAGTCGTCTCAGTGTAACGACAAACAAAAAAAACAAAAAAACGGTGAATAGGAGATATGTCACCCCCACCTGATAAGTGCCAAGGGCTTCATCTAGGAATACACTGATGATCTGGCATCACATGTACTTTTATACACTGTGACTTACAGTTTTACGCATCACGCAAATTTTAAAGTCAACAAAGAGCGGCTTCTCCTGCCAGGAAGGTGTCCCCGGTAATCGCCTCACCTTAAAAAGCGGCGATAAATTAGCCTCATTCTCCCGTCCGCATGTACTTAGCAGCAGGTCGCGGTGGAGCTAACGGCTAATATAATTAGCTATCGACTGTGCAGCAGGTCGCGGTGGAGCTAACGGCTAATGTAATTAGCTATCGACTGTGCAGCAGGTGGCAGCGTGGAGCACGGAGCCAGTCTGCAATCAGACCGGTCAGCTTCAGCCGGGTCAATGTGACTGGAGTCCTAAGGGAACGAGCTGTGTGCATTAATAGCACCATGTATGTTTTAAGCAGTTTCTCCTTGAGCTCATATTGAGTCAGTACAGCATTTTGGGTTTTCATACAGTGTGCGTGTGTATGTGTGTGTGTTTGCATTCACCCCGTGCTTGGATGGATTTCTTCCAGTTCCTCCACATTCCTCCAGCAATACAAAAACATGAGGTTAGGATAAGGTCTCTCTAAAGAAGCTTCTCTGCAATGGCGCCCCCTACCCTGTAGGAGACCCTGACCTTATACCAGGTAATTACTAAGGAAAATGATCAGACAAGCCAGACACATTTTAAGTTAGATTTATACTATAATATTTATGGTGGGGAGCTTTTGAACATGCATGAATTTCCATACGCACATCTGGGTTTTGGATAGAATGCAGATTCTTACACAAAACAGATAATCAGCTCCGACAGACACTTGATAAAAAATGCAGAAATTACACTCTCAATAAAATCCAAAAAGAATTACTGTTTACTAACAGAATTTAGTGAATAGCGTTATGCTTGAAGTAAGCTTGAGATAAAGACATATATTACCAATAATTCCCAAACAACCCTCACCCATGAAGGGCCCATACTTTTTGTATTTGAACAGCAAACCTAGATCAACTAATTCAAATTTTGTGTTAATTTATTAGTTTATTTAGTCTGGTGATAGAATGAAACAAATAGAACACTATTTTGATAATGGTCAGGAATAGGTTCCAGAATTACTAGTTTAAACTCATAAGCTCATAATTTGATCCAAACCATCCACAGTGCTGCAGCCAATCTGTTATTCCCAGTGACGTCATTCCATATATATTTGGCAAAAAGGAAATAGTGAAAAAAGGTTTCAAAAGTATTTTCAACATTCAACAAGTCTGTATATATATCCAGTTTTATTAGTTTTGATAGGTAAAAGATTTATTAAATTATAACAACTAAGGGATGAGCCGGGAATTTGTAAACACAGCTTAGAAAGCAAAAACACAAGCGAAATGAAAATAAATTTGTGCTGTCGACTGCGTGAATCAGAAAAAAAAAATGAAAAGTGTTTTGAGCCAAAAACAATTCGGCTCAGATTACTGTGTCATGTGGAGCCAGCAGAAAAGATAAATGTGAAGAGTCTGGCTTGGACAGCAAGCTGAGGAGAGATTCGACGGAGGCCAAGCGGAAATTCGGACCGGCGGCCGCCTTTGAAGGGGACTCTGTGGCCTCATGCACACAGACGGGTCCACACGTGTTCTGGGGCGTCCTGGGACCCTCAGATTGGCCTTGTCGTCTCGGCCATGATGAAACATGCCATATATGGCCTGAGGACCCGAATTCCCTTTTTTTATTTTTCCTTTTTTCTTAAGGTTTTAATTTTAGGAAACAGGGCATGTCGCCCGCTGGTCCGGAGAGCACTGGTGTTTTTCACAAGTCCGTACTGCCACAGGAGAGCGTGCGACTCGCTCGCTTAGGCACACATGCACGTGCCTCATTAGCTAAGTGGTATTCATCACTCAAGCATGACCGCTTTTGGGTTCCAATGAAAGCAGGCTTTTTTCTGTGGGTGTCGGGCTTCAATTTTGGGGTTGGGTTTTCACATCGTGTGCTTACCCCTGAGCACCCCTTGCCCCCCCCCCAAGCTCGAAACATATTGTGTCGATCTACCCCCTAATACACCACACACACACTTGGCATGGAAACTGCTTCTGACCTATTCTGGAGTATCCCTGCTTCATAAACCCCTATTGTCCTTAGCTATTTTTTCCTTTTCTTGCCATTTTTCAGCCTAACATTTGCTATGCTTTGTTTTATTGTGCTGTTTTATTCTGAAGTGCCGAATGACAAATGTTTCCGGAGGCCGGGGGGGGTTAGATTACAAACAATGTGTTGAAAACTAAAACTATTGAGTTCTCCCCAGGCCCTGAAGGTCATAATGTAAAATCATTTTCTGAAGCCATGAAACATCAAAAACAGCAATTAAAAAGCAAGATCGTAAATTTTTTAAAATCTCTACCACATAAACCTTGTTATCACCTCAGAGCCCATGCAGAGTCCCCAGAAACAGGTCAAAGTTGACCGTGTAATTAACAATATTTCACAAATAGTAAACCACAAGCAAGAAGAAAATCTGAATGTAATCTATGGTAAATTAAAACACATTAGTCTCATAAGTATACATTTCTCTTAAAGAGTGTAAGTCTGATGGAGCGACATAGTGATGTGAGTGGAAATAGTTATGTGCGTAGTTAGTGCCCTTCCTTACAATAGCATTAAAAATGAAAATGGTGGCTTTAGGACTGCTTGCCAGTTGTTATTAGAAAATGCAAGACTCTACCTGCTGTGTGTATAAATTGTTTCACAGACAAGAGAGAGAAGGCTGACTTCGTTTTTCCCAAGCCTGCAACGGCATTTACGTCACGGTGAGACCACTTTCACAGCTGCTTTCGATGTTTTACAATAACACAGCAGGTACGAATATTGTGGATTTTCCATGTGGGCTGGGCTGCTGGGTTATCCTACACTGCTGATTAACACGGCACTATTTTATACGTAATCCAATGAAGGCGTTCAGAGAGGAGTGTCTTCCTCATCTGACAAATTCTCCCTCTCTCCGCCTACTACTGAAGGGAGAGCAAAGGGTCTGTCAATTCCTGGGAAAAAATAGCTGAAGTGGGACTGAGGGTTGGGAAAGTGAGTTGTCCGTTTTATCTCGTTGTAGTGTTGGGGGTTCTCAACGTCCTCGCTCTCTTCCTGAAATCCTGCGCTCTCGGAGATCTTGGGATTGTCCAGCAGGCAGTGTTCCTGGTCATTGACGTCGTCATGATGGAGAGCATGGAACTCGAGGAGAAAAGTAGGACGTACTGCATCAGAGGCAAGCATGTGGCTGTGATTTGCGTGGCGCTGGCGGCGGCCGCCGCCGTCGTGCTGGGCATCAGCCTGGGCCTCTCCCAAGCACGTCCGACTGACGGAATGGAAACCTCCAGAAGCTCCACACCCGAGGTTTCCGAGCGAGGACCCTGCAGAGCCTCCTCAGACAGTAGCGGAGACTGGAAGAACTTCAGGCTGCCTGAGTACGTCACACCGGTCCATTATGACCTCCATGTAGAGCCTGATCTGGACACTGACATCTACACCGGAAACGTCTCCATCTTGGTGTCGGTTTCTAAGGCCACCCGGCACCTGTGGTTACATATCAGGGAGACGTTCATCAGTGTCCTCCCAAGGCTGCAGAGGAAATCCGGCCAGAGGCTGCAAGAGGTGCCCCTCAAGAGGTGCTTTGAGTACAAGCCCCAGGAGTATGTAGTCCTTGAGGCCACAGAAGTGCTGCCACCTACAGGTCCCATTGAGTACTACGTGCTGACGCTAAGATTCCAAGGCTGGCTCAACAACTCTCTTGTGGGTTTTTATAGAACCACGTACCAGGAGAACGGGACTACAAAGTAAGTGATCTCTCGCATTTGTTTATCTGTGAATATGCATGATAGAATGTCACCCACGCGGCTTCAAGTGAACCTGAGAGGCTTGTTCATGTCTCACCCGGATGGGACGACGTGGGAGTTTTGGGGAGTGAATACGAGGCTAAATGTTGCACTGGCGTAATAAGTGGGTGAAAGTCACGAGGAACGGGAATCTGGACTCGCGACCCGAACACGGTCAGCATAAATAAGCAGGACCCAAAGCCTTAATCATTCAGGCCTGCGAGAAGGAGATGATGTAACCGTCTCAGTTTTATTGTTCCGTTGCATACAGCAGCTTGAAGTATAGAATCAGAAGTAGAATCCCAATTTAATGCTTTATTGCATTTAGTGTACAGTCTAAGTGGTTATGAATTAGCCTGATTTTACTAGATCAGAGAAGGTGTACGATGAAATTCTGCAACAAAACTTAATTTCACTCTACAATACGCAGCTCGGTGTTGCAGAAAATCCATCCATCTTTCAATATCTCTTCTTGGTCAGGGTAAGGGGTGGCCTGGAGTCTGTGCCAGTAGGGGGCGCATGACCGGGTACACCTTAGACAGGATGAGATGTTACAGAATATTTGGGGACAAATGGATAAGTGACATTGTGTTCCCTTGCTGGAGTGAGGGAGCTGATATATTGAAAGAGACTGAATGTAAAGACAGAGAATAGTGGAATGCTTTGATGGTTGAAAACAAAATGTTCTCAACATCTGCAAAGAGGCATGTCGACCCTCACAAGCTATTCTCCTCAGGCACCTAGACAGCTGCCAAGGGAGGAGCTCCACGTGTAAAACGTTCCTTTTACTTCATTTAAATAGGTATTGCTCTAATAGCGCCATGATAGATTGACAAAGCCAATTGTTCATGGCTGTTCAGCTTTTGAAACTTTGCACTCTGTGGTCAATGCAGCGCAAATCTAGCTCGAACAAGGAATTTGGCTTCGCATTCCCTCATTGACCCCAAATGTCCTTAATTTCCAGAAAAATTGCTGCCACAGACCACGAGCCCACCGACGCCCGTAAAACATTCCCATGTTTTGATGAACCCAACAAGAAGGCCACCTATAAAATCTCCATAACCCACGATGGTTCCTACAGCGTCCTCTCCAACATGCCGGTGGAGGTAAAATGAGGCGCCGTCTAAAGATGACTTCTGTTATGTGTCCTACTCTCACAGTAAGACCGAACGTTATTACAATGCCTGATTTTTGGTCTAAGAGGTCCATCAGTGGTCTTGTTGACACCGTAATGGCCGAAGATGAAGACTTAATGTTCCCGTATTACCAGCCTGCCCCTGAACAGACTGAGACTATCGTTTTGTTTTCAGAAAATCGAGATCCTATCCGGTAATAGGAAGAGGACATCCTTCGAAATCTCAGTCCGCATGAGCACGTATCTGGTGTGTTTTGCTGTGCACCAGTTCACCTACGTGGAAAGGAGGTCGTCACGTGGGATACCTGTAAGTGCTAATCTCTGGCCGTTCCATTACCCGATTCACACCGACTATACCGGCCGACTTAAGCAGGGAGGGGGTTTTCGACTCATAAGAGCAGAGCTACTTACACTAGCTGACAAACAGGGTGTATTTATGCAGGGTGTATTGATTGGCGCTCATTTTAGAAAATATAGACATATTAAAGGCCGTGTTGGTTGGCCCCATCCTTTACCACAATGGCAAGTAAAAGCATTATAATACCACAAAGGGAAAGTAAAAATGAATCACACCTGAACAATAAGATGTGCGACCATGATAAATATCTTCATAGATGCATTTTTAAAGTATGATTATATACCTTAGTAATGGAAATTTCTAACGGAATATCAGCCAAAGAGACTCTGTAGAAAGTTTATTAAAAGCTTATAATCTAGCATATATGATTAACATAATTCTTTAAATCCTTTGATTGTAAATTATCTTCAATGAGTAACTTCGTTAAGTAAGAAAAAGCAAACAGATAATGTTAATCCCACCTTCTCTGTTGTTATCTGCATTACTTTAGTATAAAATATATACTTTATGGGCCGGCCCCCCGTCCTGGGTTGTTCCCCCCCCCTGCCCGTAGCTTCCGGGATAGGCTCCGGACCCCCAGCGTCCCAAAAAGGATAAGCAGTTTGGAAAATGGATGGATGGATATATACTTTAGAATGCAATGTTCTGATGAAAAAACAAATACAGTACATCTCTTTTTACACTACAAATCAGTGTAAAGTCCTTTGGACACTCTGTTCCTAAAAACACAAGATACTAAAGAGAACATGATTGACTGATCGATCTGTGAGAAGGCACCCCAACCCAGGGCTCTGGCAGAGCTCCTAAAATAGGAGGGTTTGGGATCTATCTATTGATTAGCTTCCTGTACAGGGGGGTCAGATGATATGCTGTTGTCCCACCTTTCTGGATGACAGCTTAGTTTGTCATTCAGAAGGTGCATGGTGAGCGAGCCCCAGCCTCTCCTCAGGCTCACTATGATGTTGCACAGACAGTGGCACCTAATAAATTGGAACAGAATTGGATTGGTATTGGTTGGGGACCAAATACTGTATGATATTTTCATGGGGCCCAAAATCTCTAGCGGTCCTCCTGTGCCCAGATATCTTTTTTTTCATAAAAATGTTTTTTGAAAAAGTTATGTGAAAATTTGTTAAACTAGGAAAACTCAGTACAGGTTAGAGCTATATATGTATGTATAAATAATATTCAAACAGTCATACAGAAAAACAATAAAAACCTAATTATTATTGAAGCAATATAGCACTTACTAGTCAAGGACAAAATGACACTTCATGAACCATTTACTGTGTTTTTTGACCCCAGTGCTCTCTGTTCAAAAAAGGGCACGAAGGAAGCCCCAAAGCAAACCAAGACCGCCATCTAGTGGGGTAAAAAAATACAGCAAATGGTTCATTAAGCGTTCACTAGAACGTACCATCCCAGCAAAGGTGTCCAGGTAGATGCCTCTTATAAGTACCATTTTAATTGTGTTCACATTGTGAAAACCAATTTCTGCATACCCCGCTCTCGCTCTTCCTGTGTATACTGGTTTTACAGTTTACTATACATGCTGTTTTAACTGTTTGTCTGCTGTTTCACTTGTTGTTATACGTACAAACTCTCCTTTTCGCACAGTTGAGGGTTTATGTACAGCCAACGCAGATCCACACCGCAGTGTACGCTGCAAACGTGACCAAGGTCATCTTCGACTACTTCGAGTTCTATTTCAACATGACATACTCCCTCCCGAAATTAGGTAATTACCTCACCCACGAGTCAACTTTGATTCTTGTATTTCCCGATACCCCACATGCCTGGACTGGTGCAGCAAAAAAAATCTATGATTGGGAAATGTACAAGCTGAATATGAAAATGAATTCCAGTGCCTTTTATGTTTATATGATCTAATTGGAAAGGAAATGTGAACGAGTGGAAAGAGGTCTAAAACAAGAGTAGAGGTTCATAAAAAAAAACACAATTCTTTAATAGAACATTCGTAAACAGCATTGAAGCATACCTTAACACGCCTTAAACCACTGCATTCATAATACTTTCAATGAATAACACATGACAGCTGTATTATACATAAATGACAAACATTATACTTGAATAATCATATAATGTTTATTATTAATGTATATATAAAGCTAGTAAGGTATATTTTGATGTTAAGGTGTACTTACATGCTGCTTATGAATGTTCTATTTATACATTATGATGGTGCACCGAACGTTCTGTGAATGCATCATGAAGGTGAATTGAACGTTCTGTGAATGCATCATGAAGGTACACCGAACGTTCTGTGAATGCATCATGAAGGTGCACCGAACGTTCTGTGAATGCATGATGAAGGTGCACCGAACGTTCTGGGAATGCATCATGAAGGTGCACTGAACGTTCTGTGAATGCATCATGAAGGTGCACCGAACGTTCTGTGAATGCATCATGAAGGTGCACTGAATGTTCTGTGAATGCATTATGAAGGTGCATTGAATGTTCTGTGAATGCATTATGAAGGTGCACCGAATGTTCTGTGAATGCATTATGAAGGTGCATTGAATGTTCTGTGAATGCATCATGAAGGTGCATTGAATGTTCTGTGAATGCATCATGAAGGTACAGATAATGTAAAGTGTTACAAAAAAACAGGGGGGGGCGGGGGGCAATGACCTACAAACCTCAAACGCCCCTCCGCCTTGACAGATAAGATTGCCATACCGGATTTCGGCACGGGAGCCATGGAGAACTGGGGGCTCATTACCTACCGAGAGAGTAGCCTGCTGTATGATGCCAGTGAGTCCTCATCTTACAACAAGAAGAACGTGGCAAGCATCATCTCCCACGAGCTGGTGCACCAGGTGGGGCCGCGATGACGGGGGGCGAGCCTGCAGTGAAGGGACAGTGGTGGGAGGGTGACCCTGCTCCAGTGTTACTGCAGCAAGGAGGGAGGATAAGCTGGGTATCAGACAGCTGTGGATGCTTCAGCCTGATGAGGTCCATCCTGTTCAGAATGGTGGGCTTGTCCAAATATCGACAGAAATGATTATTATTGGTCAAGTAACAGTTGTAGGTCTGTTTGGACTTCCATTCCAGTTACTAATAAACAGAAACTGGCAAGGTCTCCTCAATTATTGGTTGGATTGATTGGGTAGCTCAATGTGCAACACCTTCCACCTAGTGATGGCCAAATGAGACTTTATGGATCATTTGTGGTATTTTTGACCACACTACTTTGATTTGTTTTGTGCCATGGTTTTACCGTTTCTTTTAAAAAGAGCACCATCTAGTGGGGTCAGAAAATACAGCAAATGGTTCATNCCACACTACTTTGATTTGTTTTGTGCCATGGTTTTACCGTTTCTTTTAAAAAGAGCACCATCTAGTGGGGTCAGAAAATACAGCAAATGGTTCATGAACCTTCGACACTACTTCTACCTGCAGAACTGTAGGTTTGAATTCCACCCCCTGCTATGGTATGTGTGCAGAGTTTATCTCAGCATTTGCCCTCTGGGTACTGCTGTAAACTCTAACGGTCTAAAACATATATGGTTTGGGTAAACTGGTTCCTTTAAATGGAGAGAGCGTGAACCCTGTGATGGTCTGGCATGCCATCCAGGATGTGCCCAGACTTACACTTCCAGGGATGGGTTCCAGATTGGATTATCCATGAGGCGTTCCAGTTGTGGTGGTTTTATTGTATCCTGAAAAGGCTGGATCCACCTATGTCATTACTGCTGTCAGTTGTGGATTAATCACAGAGGGCTCCGATTGTGGATGTTTTTTTCTCTCCTGTATCACCGGCACTTTGTGCCAGTTTGTCTGTTTGACCTGGGCCAACATTTACTCCATAGCTGTGTGGAAATTGCAGAATTGCCGTCTGTCAGCTGGTGCTCGACTTTAAAATATCACTCTTTCCAGGACTGAAGTGCATGTCCTCCATACAGAAAGTAGCACCCAGTGCTGCAACACCTAAGACCAGTGTTTCCCAACCCAGTCCTTGGGAACCCACAGACAGTCCACGTTTTTGTTCCCTCGCAGCTGCCAACACACTTGAACCAGGGATTCGGTGTTCTTGATTGGCTGGGAGCTGGGAGGGAAGAAAAATGCGGACTGTCTAGGGGTCCCCAGGACCAGGTTGGGAAACATTGGCTTAGGCTGGAGCCTCTTTGTGAGTCTCCTAGGACGACCACAAAATGGGTATTTTAAATGAAAAAAATATCCTTAGATGTTTTTCACTGTCTAATTAAGTGGACGACACTTTCATGTCCCTAAGAAAATGGCACTAAAGTGATATCTTGCAGGGCTGTTTGTTTCACACTTTTGTACCATTTACAATGTAAAAGGCCCTATCCCCTTATTTGCTCATGTATTGCATAAAGTCGGTTCTGATTCTGTGATTATGGGCCAAATGTCCCATGGACCCTGTCACAGTGGTTCGGGAACATAGTGACGATGGACTGGTGGGACGACCTGTGGCTGAACGAAGGTTTCGCCAGCTTCTTCGCGTTCGTGGGGGTGGACAGGGCGGAGCCGAGCTGGGAGATGGTGAGCAGCCTGCTTGGGCTCGCATGC